TCAGTCACCAACAACAGTTCTTTTCAGAACTACACTCACCCGGACGATCACACTATACGAACTACTGATACTCCTGGGTTCAAACCATTTACTGTGACATGAGCAATTTCTTCCTGACTGGTTTGAGTTTCAAGTTTCAATATTCCACAAACAGCACACACAAAAATGTAACCTCTCTGTACTTAATTAAAAATAACATGTTCAGTTTCATCATTCTCCTGGACATTCAAAAGCTTTACTCTGTGCTATTAATTCACTTTTAAAACAATGGAAAGAAGCCCTCTCACACCTCACGTATAAGTCTCTTTACAGTATAGATGCATGCAAAACTCTGCTTGTGCTGTTTGCTAATGCCGCATTTTTTTTTTCTTTTTGTTTTGTTTTTTTTTTTTTTTCATTCACAGTAATTTAAAAAAGCAGAGAATTAATAAAACTCTTGCAAGTTTGTTTTTGCTAGAAACCTGTCAAAGCTGGTAATTATGGAATACTGAATGTTAATTCTTGTGATATTGACTTTTTATGTAATCACTAAATGATTATGAAAACTGATTAATTTTATCAATTTTTTGTGCTCCAAATTGCAGGAAAATGAGAGACTCAAAGATTCTGCTAGTCTTTGATTGGTGGATTTGCTCTGCTCCATTGTCATTTAATAACCACCTGCTAGAAAACTTATTGGAACCCCTGAATAAGGATCCAGTGTATATCTTGTTACATGTAAGTGTTGTTCATTAACTTGTCATTGGGTGCAGGTATTTGTCTTTTGCTTTATTTCATGATTTAGTGATCACATCATCCACAATAATAAGAAACTGCAAATTGTAACAAAGTGGTACAGTTATCAACTAACTTAATCTCATCTGTGCATACATTTACCTCTCTGCTACATGTACATCTCAAAGAGTCCATAACACTTGCATAAGGAGTATTTGACAGTCAACCTTTTTTAAATCTCCAACAATTTCAGGTTCCAAAATAAACATGGATGAATTATTCTAGGTGTAAGATATATGGATATCAGGGCTCAAAATTAAATTAACTAGCAGCTAATCCCAAAATTTTGATCGCCAGATCGTAATTTTTGGCCGCCATTTTTTTTCACTGATTTTTTTCTTGTTCAGTAGTCTCCTGATGTACACGATCTTCAACAAAATTCTAAGTTTATGTACAAAGAAGCTTACACGATAGTAAAATTCTAAAGGAAGAAAACATAAAAACAACATTTAAAAAGTAATCAATTTGAAAGCAGTTTGAGTTACATTTTCCATGTTCCCTCTTTGTCCTCATCTAGTTTCACATCTATGCAATTTTTGGTGCTAAGACAAGTGTTTTTGTGCACTCAACAGACATATTGGAATTAGTCCCCTGCTCTACCACATTATTGGTTGCTGTACCAGGCTCCCTGTACACATTGTTTAGTGCACCCCCAATACCTCTTGATAAAGAAGCTACTGAATCAAACATGGTGATCCACTTGGCGATTAAAAAATCGCAGTTTTATTTTGTTTGTAAATTCACATAAGTCGTGTCTTTCATCCACAAGCAAGGTCAATTTTCCTTTGAGGTTAAAAGTTGACTTAAGAAAAGGTGAGATGCCCACTGGAGAGCAGTTCTTAATATCTGGTTGCCAACACTCAATGTTTGGTCGCATTGGCACCCATTGAGTAACAATTTCAAACCCTGGATATATGAAATTTTATCACAGTAGACTAAGCATCCAACACCAATAGGAACGTACACGTACTGCACACTATAAAAATGCCTCGTCTGCATATGCAAGATCTTGTCAAAGTTACCATATGACACACAATGGATGTTTACTCTTTGTGCAAGAGAGCAATACTGAGTTTGTTTGAGGATTTTTATAATGCCATGTAAACCTGTTAGCTTTAGGAAATAACGCTGTTTGATATAATTATACACTTGAACGGGTGCATGGAAAAAAAGAACTAAGTGACTTTTGATCTCATATTGAATTCTCCTTGTTCATAGAGGGAAGTGAAAAGTAATTTGCAAGGAGAATCTTGCAGTCTATCTGATGTCACTTAGGGTCTTTTTCCACAAACCCCTTCACTTAGCCTCCATTTAACATATTAAATTACACAATAAAAATTGTTTTATACGGCTATCCACTCAATACCTTGTGTTTACTCAAGATGTACAAGTGTCTCTGGTCACTGGTTACTATTATCTGCAGCACCTCATCAGGACCAATATGCAAATTACTGTAAGGTTCAACTTGCTGTTGACCATCTTCTACTGATATCTAAAACACAAGTGGATTTTGAATTAAAATTCAAAATTTCTTAGAATCAGCTGAATTTTCCACAAGTCCTTCAATTCTTTTAATTTTTTTCTTTTCACGTGCTATTATTATCTTATATTTTTTTCTTAGGGGTTTCTTTGAGTGGTGGCCATTATTTGTTTCTACAATTTGTGAGCTGGATAAGGGTGACACACCTTGTAGATGACAAAATGCTCTTTTGCATCTCACCTGCCTTTTCAAATTGTTTACATCAAATAGATAAATAAATTATTCAGTCAACAAAAATTGCTTCACAAGTGAATATATGAAAGATCATATATTTGAACTGCTGAGAAAGATATGAAGACAGGATTGATCATCGCAGTTATATAAACAACCTAAGCAGTTGTGAAATTAAAGCCTGAAAAAATTCAGGCCTGAACGGGATTTGAACCTGTGACCTTTGCGATACCCATGCAGTGCTCTACCAACTGAGCTATCAAGCCAACTGGGAGCTGATCACGTTGTGAGTTCGTTATATACCCGTAGATGGTGAAGAATTCAAGTGAATATATGAAAGATCATATATTTAAAGAGGAAGGGACAGTATGAATTTTACCTATACTGAGCCTACAGGAGTGTGGAACATGCAGTAATAATGGCAATGATAAAAAAAAGGAAGAAGCCTACTCCTATTTCTCCTAACACTACCAACTTACCCTGTAAGACAAATACAAGGACTTTTTCAACCTTCCTCAAAAGAAGATAGTCTTTCACAACCTTGCGAAATATTACACACAACAGGGATTCTTCCTTTCAATGCTTTTGCAAACAAAAGTTAAGTCAGTTTTTCACCATAGTAGACATACCTTGAGCAGTTGACCATGTTCAGTACCAACAAACATCACTGTATGATTCTGATATGGCATTGCAGCAATAGCACTTAGCCTTCCCTTGTCATATTGCACCACAGCTCTTTTAGATAAAGGCATTTTTCCACGAAATGGATGGAAGGCAAATGATCTTGTAGGACAGAAGTCATCTGATATGGTTGGTTTACTAGTCTATTAAAAATAGAAACACACCATGGCATTATCAGCCTGGATAAAAAAAGAAAAGTTACCATCGAAACAAACTTCATATTTCATATTTCATCTGCATATAGCTGCAGCTAATTTACACATTAAATATTACCATTACTTCCAGCTGATAACCTGCAAGTAAGGTGTTAATTTTTGAGCAAACAATGGCCGAGGTAGGTTGTAGGAATGGGTGGGTTTTATGATAATTGTAAGATAAACTAGAATGTGCTTGACACTGAGACAGGGTTTAACAAATAGATTCTATGCTGCTGTGCATCTGTTCAGTAATAGATCATAGATGACATCAAAATGTGGTGAGAAAAAAAGAATGGTACACAAGGCAATAGCCAAGTGTGTCACTGATTTGTATAATAAAGAAACAGACTAAACAAGAAAAGCTTTTTTATTTCGAAACTTTCAAAGCCTTTCAAAAGCCTGGCCTTTGCCCACTTTGAGGAACATGAAAATAGCAATTTGACATAACCTATTGTCTATACAAAATGAGTTGAAAAAGACATTTGGAAAACTTGCAGTTACGGTCAACATTGACAGGTTGGAGCCTTGGAAGCCATTCAATTTGAGCTTTGGATGTAAGGAGCATTGGTGACAGTGGAAATTTGTGGTGATTCTCAAGTGCACTTGATATAAGGGGATTCATGCTGACGTCATTGTTTACATTTTTGCTCATTTGCATACGACTTTGCATACAGAAGGAAACATGATGTGAAGTATATATGAAATAATACCTATTTGAACTGCGGTTGTAGATGAAAGTGAAGAATGATCATTGCAGTAAATTTTCCAATTTAAGCAATTGGAAAGAAGAAGCCTGAAAAAAATCAGG